TTAAGTAATTTAGTGTAAATGTAAATTTAAGTAATCCTAAATTTCTGGATAAATCTAAAGACACCGAATAAAATTACACAATAAAACTATGTAAATTTAAAACATAGAACTTAAAACTATCTAAAGAACAGATAGATAAATTAAAAAGTTTAATTAATTGCGTAGTCGGTGACTTTCCAGGTTGTGGCACATTTGGTTATTCATACTATTGAATAATTTGTGAACTTTTTGTACTTAAGGTTACGACAATTACATTGAAACCTCTGAAGGTTGTGCTGGCTGCTTCTTGGGAAGTTCCTGAATTTGCTGGTACTGTATCGGCTGGGCTGGTTGTACAACTTGCGTTGTTTGAGGTGAATTGATTACTGTTTGCGGTGGCACAGCAGGGTATTGACCACCAGGCGCTTGTGATACGTATATCGGTTGGGTAGGTTGCATAACCATAACTTTATTATATATGTATAAGAATAGCGCAAGTTAAAATCTCAATTAGTTTTTGATACTAAAGCTAAAAATACCTTTCTAAAAATATTAGCAGCATGCTAGTAAGCTACTCCCAAAAAATGCTGTACAACATCAATAAATTGTAAGTCTTGATCAAAGTAGATATATTTATTATCATAGAATTATTGTATCTTGTAAAGTATTTCGTTTTAATTACATTATTATTTCTAAAAATATATAGCATACCTGGTTGATTAGGTTGCATTGCTACCATTCGCTGCTGACCACCTTGATATTGCACAATAGTTGCTGCCTGCTGATGACCATGATATTGCACAACTCCCGGATTCTAAATGTTGTTTAAGTAGGGCACATAGCGTTAAAAAAATACTTTACAAATTATAATTTTTGATTGTTAAATCAACTAAGCAATAAATATATAAAATATATTCCTGTATTGCCAGTTGTTATAAGTTGAAATTAAGGAAAATTGATTGATAGTGAAAGATAATCTGTACAGTAAAATCTATTATATACTAATGGTACAGAATTAAAATCTAAATCCTTATCGCATGTATAATGCAAATTGAAATAATTTTCGCTAATATAGTCTTATCAATTTCACTACAGTCAAGAAATATAAGCAATTGACATGAAATGAATACCTTCAACAACTAAGATGTTAGTACGTACCGTTAAGCCCGGCTGGCAGTAGATGTTTCGCGATAAAATAATTACAATCGTCACTATTAAAGCAAAGCCAACGATAGACATTACCAATGAAAGAATAGCGTGCCAAATAATACCGTAATACGAATAGATGATAGCTGGAATGCTGATACCAAATTGAAGAATCGAAAAGATGAGGCTGATGATAGAAAACGCATAATAGCAGTGCATCTGAAAATTAAAAAACATGATTATTTGATTATTCAATCGTGAAAATAGATTTTCAACATCTTATTTTTCCTAGAAAACCTGGAGGAAAACCCTTTGAATATTTAAATAGCTACGGTAACTATATTACCATGATAACATAAAAAATACTTAAAATATCAAAAATAAGCTAATACTTAGAAATTTTTGAACGTAGCTGATGAGCTAGATATCTCTACAATACCTGATCTTGAACTCCAGCATCCATTAAGAACATTCGTATTAAAAGTACCGTTATGTAATTTAAAATTGATCTCTGTTGATTTACTATACAAAACAATAACCTACCAAATGAGGATTTCTTTGATTAGTATGGACAACAGTTCCAAATATTCCAGCTAAGAGGTACTGTACATTAAAGTATATACAAGAAAACATTGTTAATAATCATTTTATGTAATATATGTATGTCTTGGTGATAACAATAACCATAGCGTACTAAAGAAAAAGAAGGAGAGTAGTGATAAATCGAAAATGTTACAAAGCCTTGATTTATGTTGGTAAGCTAAATATTTATCCGTTACTAATTTGAAAGCAATTATAATTGCAAATACTGCTAGTACTGCAAAATAGAAAGAATTATTTTATATTTCATAAAAAGTAATTGAACAATTTCGTAATATTAGATTTACATCGCGAGAATATGTGTATGCTTGATTATTAGTTTTAATCTCAGTTACACTGAGGCGAGTGTAGAGCACACTCGTACTGATGTACAATAGTCAGCAGTAAATAAAATTCAACGAACCTAAATCCCTATCATTTAACTCAATTCTCTATTATTGGAAAAGGTTAGTTTCCTTACAGAGGAAGTTCCTAAGGTAGTCAGAGGCTAAGTAGAGTAGATAGGCTAGTTTAGATCTAATCACGAAAGCTGTTTTAAAATAGTCATGTATTAGCCAAGGTGATGACCGAAAGTTAGTACAACTTATGTTGCTGATTAGATATTTATTCCTTAAATTAGAACGAGTAAATCACAGATTATTATTATATCATGATCATAATTGGTTCTATCAGTTTTTGATGTATCGCCTACAGAGAACGGAAGCTACTAGTAATACTCAAATATTTATAATCGAATTCTTACTATTTATTTTATTTGGATATTTGCTTAATACTATATTAGTAAATTTTACTGATCCTTGCAATCAAAAATTATAATTACTAGCGCCATTATTAGGTATCTATAGATAAAATAATTTGCGTGAAACTCTACCTTAGTATTGTGAAATCAATAAATATGTAACCTCTCGAGCACGGTATGCTAGAATTTTCTTCACAGTCAGGATTATATGAGTATGTAGAAATTAAAATTAAACTGCATAATTACCAAAAATGAAGTCAAAATCACGTCTTACTCATTATATTCTATAACTAATCGATTATCTATTGATTTTATAAAGTTTCATTTTACATTCCTGTTAGAATGTATCCACATTACTCAGATATCAGTATGCAAGTATACTGTATATTACAGAGTTATTTTGAAATCAAACTAGTCATTTTGCTCGCATTGCATAGGAAAAATTTAAATTATTATTCTGTTACTGCATTATCACAAATTAAAGATACCAATAATGTATTGGGAGCTGCTAATGTCACTTGAAAGGGGTTTTAGAGGGATCGCAGTAGAGGATTCGCCCCCATCTACTGAAATTCTAATGATGTGGGTTGTTACATCATTATTAGTAACTTTTATAATCTACCTGTATACATACACGTGTATCATTGATCAAGTGCGTAATTGCAATTTAGCAATACATATGTTAAAATTTTCGAATTAAAGAGTGATAATTCACAACATTATATCACAATACCAGTATCCTGTAGAGGTCTACAATGAATAACATTCCCCGCTGGTTTACATTATATTGCATTCCTAGCGACCTATATCGACTTTTAAGTTTTTTAATCGCAAGAAAGCTATACAAATAGTTTTTATCCATGCTTTATCATCTCTAACCTATGTCGTCAGTTGGATTAACTGTCATTCCGTCTACGCAGAAGCTATATTCTCAGACTGCCAATTATACAACTACTTAATATGGCTTGGGCGAATTTTTATTTCATAATTTATTCTTTGTTTCATCGTACTAAAGATCTAACCTAATATCTTAGATAAACACTTGCCACAAGTAGCGTAGCGTCTATTTTACTTACACCAGTACAACTTTCTACTCTATGACGAAATTTGACTATCTTAGTATTGGATAGATTAATTTTATCACGATCGTATAGTTAACCAAAGGATTGAATTGTGTAGTTTATAGTAATACAGGGTAATTCGTTCTCTAATCATAAAGAGGTAAGGGTGTGTGGATGTTAAATTTAATAAAAAGTACTGACAATAGAAAATTAGAGAGTTTAAGGTGTACAAAGGTGAGATAAAGCAAGAAGCAAGATTAACACAATTTACGCTTTTGTCTAAAAACCTGGTATGATATGTAAGATCGATTAGCATACTAATATACGCTTACATGCAGTAACAACACCATAATTACTTACCCCTAATCCAACCCATATATCAAGACCAGTGATGACACTAAGACTTCTCCAATATCCATAAAAGCCAAAACCTATACCGCCCGTAACTATAGATGCAAATCCAAGGACAATCATGGTAACACTTATTCCAAAGGACGTTTGCTTATGCTGTATAGGCAAGACATAAGGATGCATTACAGAAGTCTGAAGATACTGCCCTGGCTGTTGAGCTATTGTAACTGGTGCAGACATGTTGATTCTTTCAGGCTAAAAGATGACTGATAACAATGATGGCGATCGTTGGAATACTTTTTATTCTGAAGCTTAATTAACGAGAGACGACAACTCGCGCCTGAAAACTATACCACTCGCTCAATTTTGGGTGTGCCAGCCTATAACTATTAATTATGAATTAGCTATGACCTTATGCGAATTAATTAGATATTATACGGTACGGTATTGTACTAGCAAGGACAACTATGTAAATTACAGATACACCTAGTAGCCTATGGTACTAGTCACTACCTGGTAGTCATAAATTACATAATGAGTAGAATACATAGCTGTATTAAATTTCGTGTATTAACCTCGAAACGAAAAGAATTACGTATAAGTATTACTGTTTGCGATGCTCTAATTAATGCTGGACGCGTTACAGACCTTCAGATAAACTCCAACTATATAATAGTATAAGCCTCAACAAAACAAAATCCAATCAATAATTACGATAAGTTTCTAGGAGAAATTATTTAAAACATTATCTAAGGAACATTTTTCTCTGCGGTTGACTTTATGAACGAAAGGATAGATGTAGTATGGTTCTAATGAATTTTTTTTCTGCCTCAATGTTACGACTTAAAGCACAATAACGAGCTGCAGGCCATAAATCCTCCTACAATTAATTTATACTCAGCCAAAAATCAAATTTTTATGGTAATCAGCCCAAAATTGTAATTATTTTTCGTACATTTACATTTCTACTTTCTTAAAACGACTATCACTCTATAATCTACTTCAACATAATATACTTGGTTTAGTATAACATCTATTCTAAGTATCACTTTTTGAGTATGTATCTCTTAATTGAGATTCAATAAAAGTTAAGCATCATTAAATTTTAGAATCATTGCCATAATATTTATTCACATGCCATTAAAGTAAACTTTTGCTTTTCGATTTGATTTCGATATAAATTATAATTCTAGAAGCTTTTAATGGTAAAAGCGCATACTCTACAATTTTGTTAAAATCATTCTACTTGCGAATTTACCGATAGAATTTATTCTATTCTCTGCTTACAAGCTATATTCTGTTATAGCGTACTAATATTGTGCACACATGTGTTGATATCGTTTGATCATACAGCATAAGCTATTGTAAGCATAACTAATCATCTATTTTTGTAGAACAGTGTCACGAACTACTTCCTGACAAGTTTACTAGTCTAACTTAAAGCACTTACTTTGAGTTGATTCTGCAGATTACTACCCTAATCTTCCGAAAGATCTAGTAAGAATATAGCGCTGCTACTATAACGCCTAAGAACTGCCCTTCTAAAAGGCTTACAGCCAGTAGACACGCTGTACCATAATCTACAAAGCAGCTTCATTCAATAACTCACTACTCACTGTTCTCTCTCAAATTCAACTGATTCAAACCAATAACTAGACTCATGAATAATCGTTTATCTTAACAAAGAAATACCAGACACACCCTGATGATGTAACTAGATAAAAAGATAAACATATTTATAAAGAACAATCTTGTCTAAATTACGTACGTAATCATCAAGCCTTATTGACTAATAAATGTATCACATTACAAATAACGTTCAGAGATTTCATTTTTCGAATAAAGCAAGAGTAATATTGATCTACTATCGGATATTAATTCCTACAGTTGTAAGCACAATAAATCCTAGCATTTCCTATGCTATAACACTGAGAAACTGCCAGCAACAGCACTTTCTTAAATTCTAAAATTTAGGCGACCTAGTGCCGTAACAAACAGTTACATTAAACTGGGTTAAAGTTGCGAAAAGAAGCAACGACAAAAATTCTCTTAAACACGAATTCTATTACAAGTATATACCTCGAAATAACTAATTATGACTCTGACTTAAGCAATTTTGCAACAGACTATATATGCAGTTCGATGCACTATGAGAAAATCAATAGAATTACATAAAATTCGCCTTGATCAATTTTGCTAACCGTAAAATTGAATATAAACTAGTTTTCTGCCATTTTACGACCTAGTGTTGTCGTCAATAATTACTGACGATACTTAAGAATATTCGTTGTTAATCGAATATTACACCTGTGATAATTTGGATCACTGATGGATTTCCATTAACGACTGTGTGGGTTTAAGTTATTTCAATGCATGAATTACAGTGTTGTAATTAACATGGCGAATGTTGCACGAATAGTGTAATCTCGCATGTAATAGTTAATTTATAGGCACTTAATTTAACAATTAATGTATTATAATAACCATGTACAAATCGGCGTATGGTAGGTAATTAATTTTGTTAGCTGGTTAATTTGAAGATTGCACCTATTGGCTTAAGAAATTAGATAAGTCCATTCTTTGTTAAAGGTTGTTGCTGTAGTTACTGTATTTGATCTATCAATAAGGCAAGCTATTAAATAATAAGTTCCCCAACCATATCGTACTCGTTCTGAATTTAGCTCATTTACAGACTTAGAACTACATGGGGTCACTTTAGAAGTAAGATAGCTAAGAGATAGTACTTTAGTTTGGTCTCTATGTCCTAAGTGTGGTTGTGATATACCGATACTCTTATATGTGATGCAGTACGTATGATTCCAAGGTAGATGTAGCCGCATAATGTTTTGCTTAAATACGTATATACGACACGTATTATTCGAACGAACGATGTATAGATAAAATTCATGGTAACTAAAATATGTTTGCTATTATCTTAATCATTCGATTTGCGCTATTCTTTAATAACGACTTAAGGAATAGCCAAGATATGTTAACAAACCTTAATTCATATAATTATTAATTACAGCTTAAGGTATTATCGTTAGTCAGACTTATTTGAGTTGCTAGCTAGTATGAATTATCCAGTTTCAGGATCTGTTTATAAATAGCCATTCTTAATACGACAATATTACTATCTACTGAATTTTATTATTTAAAACTACAAAAATTGACCTTAATACAAGCACCACATTTTCTTAACGTCTTTGAGAATGATAATTTAAAATTATTAGTCTTGTAACTATCAGCTAGTAGCCGCTATCAAGTAAGAGAGATAAATTCTAATCGACCACATTATAAGTACACCAAAGTCATTAAAGTAACAATATGATTATGAATCTAATGTAGTGATCGCTTTTATGATCACAGCTTTTAAGTAATTTAGTGTAAATGTAAATTTAAGTAATTCTAAATTTCTGGATAATCTAAAGACACCGAATAAAATTATACAATAAAACTATGTAAATTTAAACCGTAGAACTTAAGACTAGCTAAAGAACAGATAGACAAATTAACAAGTTTAATTAAGAGGATTACTGTAAAGATACCGATTGTGTTTTACCGTAGTCAGAACTAAAATTACAATATCGTCTATCTTGTACATGCTATAAGTATATATATATATATATACTAACTTAAGATATTTTAATCAAAGCCTCTTTATCCTCTTCCACATTAGTATGTTGTTGTTGTTGCCTAGTCGATGATGTTTCAGATTGTGGCATACTTGGCTGTGTTTGACCAGGAGCATTCTGCAAGCTTGACTGTACTTGCTGTTGAGTAGATTGTGGATTTGGTTGGCTTGCTTGCTGAACTTGCTGTATATGTGGTTGTGACGGTGGCTGCGATTGTTGTAAAACCTGTGGAGGCTGGTATGGTTGTAGGTTAGGATATTGTTGAACTTGCTGATACCGTATTGGTTGAGCTGGTTGCGCAACTTGCACCGTTTGAGGCGAATTGATTACTGTTTGCGGTGGCATAACAGAATACTGACCCACAGGATTTTGTGGTACGTACATCGGTTGGGTAGGTTGCATAACCATAACTTTATTGTATATACATAAGAATAGCTCAAGTTAAAACTAGATTAGTCTTTAATAATAAAGGTAGAAATACTTTCTAAAAACTTAAGGTATATACTAGTAAGATATCTCCAAAATACCGTACAACAATAATAAATTACAAATCTTGATCAAAGAAGATATATTTATAGTTGTAAAATTAGTGAATCTTATAAAGTACTTTTTTTTAAATCGTAATAACATTCTTAAAATATTTATAGAATACCTGGTTGATTAGGTTGAATTGCTATCATTTGCTGCTGACCACCACGATATTGGATAGTTGCAGAATTCTAAACATAGTGTTGTTAAGTCAACAGCGTTAAAAGTTACTTTTACAAATGCACTTTTTAATTATTAAATCAACTAAGCAGTAAAAATAGAAAATCTATCTTGTATTGCCAGTTGTTAAAAGTCTGAATTATGTAAGATTAATTAATAGTTTGAATATATGATTGTGGTTGCTTCTACCATTCTTCAGTAATAGTTAGTAATCATGAAATAATATACGTAACGCATATACCTACGTCACTAATGAAAGATAGTCTGTACAGTAAAGTCTATTATGTATCAATATTATAGAATTAAAATCTAGATTCTTATTGAAGGTGCACCCAGCTTAAAATAACTTTCGCTAATATATTCCTATCAATTTCAATTACGGTCGAAAATACAAGTAATTTGCATGGATTGCATACGTTTAAATAATTGCGATATAGTAGTACATACCATTGTCTCTGGCTTGCAGTAGATGGATCGTGATAAAATAACTACAATTGTCGTTATTAGAGCGAAGCAAACAACAGACATCGTCAAAGAGGCAATAGGGTTCCATAAAGCATTATAATACGAATAATATTGAAAGAGAGACGGAATGCTGAGGCCGAATTGAATAATCGAAAAGATGAGGCTTATGATGGAAAAGGCATAATAGCAGTGCATCTGAGAACAGAAAGCATTCACAATTTGATTATTCAATCGTAAAATTGTGATATTTTAAATGACTAAACGGCTGAAATCACAATACTATCGCAATATTACAAAAGTAATTAAAAATATCACAAAGTGAGCAAGTATACAAGAATTAAGAAATATAGCTGATGAGCTGGATATCTCTATAATATTTAATTCAACTCCATTATTCATTATTAACATTCGTATTCAAAGTAAGGTTGCATAATCTTAAATTTTTTTGTTGACATACAATATAAACATCAACCTACCAAGTGAGGATTGCTTTGATTAGTATGGACAACAACTCCGAAAATTCCAGCCAAGAGGTACTATATGTTGAAGTGAATGCAAGAAAATGCTATTAACAATCATTATATTTAATATACATGTCTTGGTGACACTAAGTACCGGTACCATATTGTGTTAAAGATAAAATACGAGTGTATCGATATATCAAAAATGCTATAAAGTCTTGATTTACATTGGTAAATCATCTATTTATCTGTTACTCATTTAGCTAAGATTATGAATTCAATTACTGCTCTAAGATAGAGATTATCTTCAATTATTTCGCAAAGAATGTCTGAATAATTTCGCACTGTTAGATATACATTGCGTAAAGATAGTGATATCGAATGTATTGCACAAGTTTACTTAGAGTAGAGGGCTAAGTTGTGTATTAGCTACGATGATGGCTGAAATTAGCACAACATACAGTATATGACTTATAAGATGTTTACTCCATACATTAGAAAGGGTAATTCACTGATTATAATACATTAATATCGTAAAATTATCACAGTTAGCTCTATTGATATTTATTGTGTCACCTACATAACACTGAAGCTACTCATAATACTGAAATATTCGTCATTAAATTCTTACCGTTTTATTTTATTTGTATATTATCTACTTAACACTACCTTGGTAAATTATAGCTAGACATTGCAATCAAGAATTATTAGCAATACTATCGGGCATGCATAGATTTATACTTTGGATGGAACTCCAATTTCGTGCTGTAAAGTCAATAAGTATAGCGCGCTAGAATTTCCTTACAGTCAGAGTAGATACTATACTAAAGTATAACGAATTGTATTCTCTAAATTAAATATACAGGTCGTATCTATTCTAAAATAAACCAGCCGTTATGCCCGTATTACATAGGAGAGAATTGAGCTATTGATCTATGCGTATTACTGTATCGCAACAAATTAAAAATACCAACAATTAATAGGGGCTAAAGTCACTTGAAAGGAGTTTTAGAGGTATCATAATAGAAAATTCGCCTCCAACTACTAAAATTCTAATCATGAAGGCTATTACATCACTTTTAGTAAATTTTATAAATAACTTATACAGGTATATAATTACTCAAGTACAGTAATTTTAATTCAACAATACATACGCCTAAGCTGATATCCTCGAATTGAATAGTATTAATTGCAACATTACATAGCAATATAAATATCCTATAAAGCATTCATACACACTTTTTATAAATTCTACGGAGGTTGTGTTACACTAATTTTTTAATAGCAAAACTGCTACCGTTCTTACGGTATATAAGAGATTACGTTGCTTACGTAGCGATCGATATGTCATCAATTGGATTAACTGTCATTCCACCTACACGGGAGATCTTCTCTATCTCCGTTAATCTGGTTTCGATGTATTTTATTTATAAAATATTCCTCAGTTGATCATTCTGAAGGGTTTAACTCAATATCATAGAGAGACACTACGAGTACCGCGCTGTATATTTTATTCGAGTTCGTATAACTGTTGACTCAGTAGCGGAACTTTCCGGTTTAATATTTTGAGTAGACCAATTTTATCATAATAGAGTATATTTATGTTGAATTAAATAAAATAAGGTCCTGATGGTTGAAAACTAAGTCTGAATCAGATACAGTATACAAGTTAAAAAACTAGATTAATAAAATTAAATATTGTAATCAAACGGCTAAGTACAGTATAGTAAGATCGATTAATTAATATGTTGTGTGATGGAGGGTTCGAAGAGTCAGATAATGTGGTTTTAGTCGCCGAGCAGAGAATTGCACAATGAGCTTAAGAAAAGAGGATACTTTCTTGTAGATAGTAGTTAGGTACAATGTGATAATTACGGTAGGTCAGCGTGGTAGCTGCCGTGAGTAAAGTGTGAATACTAACTATGACTAATAATGCAACTTTAGAAATCTAAGGTAGAAAACGGTAGTATTTATAGCTATGGCATTAGAACACATGAAGAGAACATGATTGTAGGATTAGATACAACATATACCATAACAGGTTATAGAATAGCAGATGATTGTAGAAAATAGCGAGGACGGTAATAACTAAATGTAGTAAGCCATATTTGAATGTAGAGCGAACAGACTGTAGATATGTCTAAATATAAGATCAATACAACATGTCTATATTTAAGAGTAGAATATAGTTACAGTATATTCTAAATACACTACATATTGGTATATGCTTATATATAGTAAAAATATCATAATTACTTACACCTAATCCAACCCATAAATCAAGACCAGTGATGATACTAAGGTATCGCCAATATCCATAAAAGCCAAAGCTGATACCACCTATGATCATGGTTACAACTCCAAGGACAATCATGGTAATACTAATTCCGAAAGACGCTTTTCTATACTGCACAGGCAAGACATAGGGATTTAATATATAAGACTGAGGATACTGCCTTGGCTGTTGAGCCATATTAACTGGTGCAGACATGTTGTTTCTTTTAGGCTAAAAGATGACGGATAATGGCGATTGCTGGAATAATTTTTTTATTGTAAAGATCGTCTAATGAGAGAGAAAAGACACGTCGCCCCTGAAAACTATACAATTCATTTATCCTGGGTGTGCCAAGCTATAACTGCGATTGATTAGTCAAGGCCTAAGGGGGAATTAATCATACTGTACGGTATGGTTCTAGTCACTTCCTGACTACCAGAGATTGCGTCATAAGGAGAGTCTATTTAAGTCTATTAAAGCTGAACGTGCCGTGCCGTAGATCTACAGACAGACTCTGACTGTACCGTATAATAATATAAAAGATAGCAAAAATAAAATTGAATCCATAATTACAACAGATTTCCAGGAGAGAGTATTTAAAACATAAGACGCCTACTTACATAATCAGCTAGCCTTTAGTTGATTGATCGACAAGGATTTTTTTTATTCACGATTGAATTTATGAACGAAAGGCAAGCTGTAGTTTCCCATTTCGACAGTCCAGCTGAATTTCAGGTAGAGCAATTAGCAATTGTATTCCGGGATGGCGCCTATTCTATAATAATTATTGGGCTATAAACGCAATTGAGTTGTAATAGCATAAGCCTAACTACTCTTGAGATCACTACGATAAAGTATAGGCTAGTAATAGCGCTAATCGTAGCAGCAAACACTAGAAAAACTGTTCCAGCAAGCAACTTTAGGTTATTCAGTAGTTCTTTCTACAAGTCTTTCTGGCAGTTGTATTTGGCCAGAGTGCTGTAGAGCGAAGTGCAGATTATCTTTGTATAAGATCTAATTAGGTCCTAAATTTCAACAAATTTGGAAATTTCGTACTGGCTTATCACAGTGACCTTATAATTATTCTCACTGCTTGCTAAAATTCAACCAAGTGCCGGTAAAGTTTTATACGTACATAAAGAATATCGATAGTAATTGAAGGCGAGTGAGCGACAATATACAGTATATATTATACAGTCAATTAAACTAACATTATGGTTATTACCAGTAGTGAACATTTGCCGTAGATATAATGAAAGCGAATATATTGAGTTTGCTTACAAAGCTGTCACAAATCGTGATTTGTGACACTGGGGGGAAATAACGGTATATAATATGGTACAAATCGCTCAGAAAACATTCACAAAACAGATCTTTAATAACACTAGAATTTTATGGTAGCAAATTCATAAAGCAATCAAATACGAGAAACACACACTACAAACTTCATTCTCAAGACAACAGTAAAAAAATAATAGTTACTTCAACAGATATATAGAGAAATCAATTCGAAAGCAAAATGAAGCAGAAAGAACTACGGTGAAAATTTAACTTAACCAAATCAACAATCATCATGAAAACTCGCTTCGCGACAAAAAGCTTTGCATTTTTACTGCGTAGACGCCTAATATACTTGTCAGAAATGGCTTCGTGTAGTACTGTATAGTCATATACTAGATCATATTTGTTTGCTGGAATGTAAAATGCTAGTAATTGCCACCTGTATAAGGTCAAGACTCTATTTATTGAGTAGTTACCAATTGTATTAGTAAAATTGGTAGATTTTATTGCGTGACTTACTTTGTATGAATGTGAATGTCTAGGTATAATTTATGAAATACTAGTGCAAACTCCCGTCGCTTTGCTGACGGTTTACGATAATGTGCTCATTTAACAGATAGTATTACCATTTGATAGACCTGCCAGAGGTTCAGTAACTTTTTACCGTGTATTTCCCGCAGTTGAATCGAGCTAAGAAATCTGACGATATTTATAGTTTAGCATACACCTTGGAATAACTGATTATGACTCTGATTTAAGCAACTCCACCATAGACTATCTATGGAGTTCAATGTACTCTGAACGGATCAATGAAATAAAGCGAAATTGATACTTATTAATTTGTTAACCGTAAATAAAATATAAACTCGTTTTCTACCGATATTCTTATAAGTAATACACTATTTTTGAATCCAAGTTAGATATAATCGTATAATGTTTCGCATAAATAAAATTCGTGTTAGCTAGAACATGCTTGCTGTTATCCTTAAATATTGATCGTTCAACTTGAGTTATTCTTTTAAGGACGGCTTAATAGTCAAGATACGTTAAACAAACGTAAATTCATATATTAATTATTAAGTATAGCTTAAAGTATTATCGTCAGTCAGACTTATTTAAATTATTAGCGAGAATACACTATCAAAGTGCAGGATCTGTTTATGAAGAGCCATGAGTGACACAATAACATCACCATTATTAAAATTTGTTGTTTAATAACTGGAAACATTAACGTTAATACAAGTGACATATTTTCTTAGCGTCTTTGCAAACGATAATTTGAAATCATTGTCTGGTAACTATCAGTTAGTCGCCGCTATCAAGTATAAGGTATTAAAGCACACATTAATTGTACTATATGTAAAATAATTTCACAAATGTATAAATACACGATTCCGATTGATCAATAAACGATTCTCAATTAAACCTACTACCGATTACCATGAATATAACAGCTAGCAAATAGCTAACTCATATAATATCGTGAAATTTAATACGAAGCTATGGTTCTCGTCAAATTATCTATCAGGCATTCTCTCACCGTTCAATCGAGTTAAGAAATCTGATCATTGTAGTGATGCACCCATATTTGATTATACGGATAGCTATATTTGATATAGTTCGGTTTCTTCGAATAGCTATTATCGTGAAGCTAATATTAGATGATTGCTAACTGCTATATTAAAAATTATTAATGACTAATAGTAGCCAGTTGACTAATTATGGTATAAGATTTACGTGGTTAGAAACACTGTCGTAGCTAAGATGTCCTCCGAAGAAAAGGGCTAGACGTTAATAGAAGAGTAGTGACATCTTAAGTAGAATGATTTAGATTGTAGAAAATAATATGTACTATTTGAAAAAATATTTTGTTTGATGACTCATGTCTGAATGTAGATTAATCAAGTTGTCATAAACGGATTTAACTAAATGTATATAAGAAGTACAGACATGACCTCAGGAGGAGAAGAGACTTTACTTCGCTTTTAGCCCGGAATACCTTAGATGTTAGAGTAGATTCTTGCAGTAATTAATTATTGCTCTACTATTCCTAAAACCTTGTAATAAAAGCCTCTAAGAAAATATCATTTGACTAAGATATTTATTGTAAGATGCATTTATTACAATCGTATTTAGAGATTAGATTGTAAGTTGCTGATAGAGAACTAATTTATGCAATACAGTCCAGTTAGCATGCAGCTGTAGTTCTAATCAAATTATCTTTGAGATGCTTTCTTATAGCTCAATCGAGCTGGAAATCTGCCACTAATTCTTTTGGATTCTACATTACTGCGATTCACAACACAACGGTACGTGGGAGGTAGTAAATCCTTTAATTAATTTTCTATTGAATTAAAACTTAAATTTCCAAATGAATTGATCTTAGCTTGCTATTACCTTTCGTACACTTACCTTTCTATTTCTTAGAACTATTATCATTCTACAATGTGTTTGAGGATAATATGCTTAATTTAGTATTAGTATTTTTAAGGATATGCCCTATTGATAATACAGTAAATTATTCTGTCTTTGAGCTCAAAATCTTCCACAATTAAATCAAAATTAAGCCTAAAAGTAAAATCTTATCATAGTAACGATATATAAATAAGGATGATAACGATGATTCTAAATTAAACGGTACTAACTTCTACGACAACGATGGAATACGATATGTTGCAACTGAAATCATTCTACATTGCATTTCCTGCTATCGAGCTCTAATCTATTATAGTTTATTAATCAATATTATCTGAAATAAGTGATGATATCGTTGGATCATGCAGTACACGCTATTGTGAGCGATAATTAATCATCTGTATTTGTATGACGGTCAGTTTAAACTAGATTAAGCTGTGGCTAGAAGTGCAAAGACCTGTAAATAGAGATTCAAGTGCAAGCATACACCCCGAAGTAACTGCTTATGACTTTGATTTAAGGAAAGCTTATCTTAGACTTGCTTACAGTTCAATGCTTCATGATTACATGGATCATCGTATAGTTTTAATTGCCTGAGGTTGGCATAAATCAGTTATTTCTAACTGTAAGAAAAATACAAATTCATTTTCTATTCAGGTTCTAATAGAGGTAAGCAATGATTTCATCTAATCACAGGAGTTATGAGTTAGGGAATACAGTGATATTATGCAGCGTAGAACTGTATGTCTGAACATAATAGGGTTAAAAACTCATGCACTGCAGCGCGGCGCAGCACTTATGAGTCTACGTTCGATAAAATCGTCTAGCTTTTTTGCACAAGTATTTTGTATAATATTGCATACAAACAGTCTATATTATTAATTTATTTATGAAAAGAGAAATCGAAATAAAATTTGATCATTCAATATCTTAGCTACTTTTTTACAATAACATCCAAAATTTCTAAGACGTCATTTTATTTAAACGGTAACTAATATGTCGGAAATAATACACAGAATCTTCCTCGGATAACATAATTAAGTGATTGGATTGGCGTTCTATTTATTGGAATGCTCTGTAAGAGTCTCTTAAAAGCTTCCTTTTGATTCGGAAGTGATATCAATTTTAGGTTCCACTGTACTCATTTCATGCGAATTGTGTTGAATATCAATAGATGGATTGCTCACCACTGCTTCTATGCCATGGGAAGGTGATCGATTATCGATGGGTTTTGGCATCATTGTATTTGCATCTCTAGGAGTAATTACAAGTTGACCACTTGGCGTTTGTGAAGCAATAACCTGTTGTACCGTTGCCATCGTAGGTACGCCAACTACTTCAGTATTAGGTATAAACTGTTGAAATCCAGGCTGTACCATTAGATTTCCACGTTGCGGTAAATTTACAATCTGATGCACTGCAGTTGGCGATGCTGCTGCCATCGTATTCATGGCATGAGGTGCATATACAATCTGTGGATGAGCTACCTGTTGTGTAGTAGCTACTTGAACTGCATTGGTGGTCATGGCCATATTATGAGGTGAAAATATTTTCGGGTCCTGTTTGTTTAATCCTTGTTGGATATTAGCTGGTGATGGACTCGCTACAGTATCTAACTCTGAATAAAAATTCACATTGTTGTAATTAACTACGGCAACACAAATAAATGGTACTCAGATATTCTGTTATCCAGCTAATACAGTACGTCTAAATCTTGCTCATAACTGGCATTAGCATGTAAATGCTAAAGAAATTACTTTTTTTTCTTTTTACTCTTTCAATTTCATTCTATTAATCTCTACAAATACTTATCCGCATGGTTAGCGATCAATACGATATCTTATCGTATCTAATATAAGACAATGAATTATATAGGGCGCTGCTCTGATGTAAGCGTAATTTAATTTGAAGTGCAATTTACCTATGTTTCTTGACTCAACGAGTGGTTCAACGGCAGTATCGTCCTACATTAAATAACAAGCAGACACTATTATCACTCTAGTTGGCTTTATAATAATTTTTTTAGAAACTATTCCTAGATAAAGATTCTACAAATTATATAAGAACGGTTTGAAAGGTAAGTCTTTGTCCATATAAATAGCCAAATATTATGCATTATTCCCATCGAAATGATAGTGAATAACATTTTACAATCAATTTCTTAATACTACTACTTACTGTAGAATAGGATGTGCAATATACATATTCAGAGAGCATGATGACACTCGATAAAGTCAATGTGAAGCCAGCGAAGGATATAACGATAGTTACAATGTTGTGCCAGCGAGATGTTGGTGTATAGCCAAGGATACTAATTAATCCTACGCAAAACTGGCTAATGGAAAAGACGCAACCAAGAATAGCAAAAGCATAATTTGCATGTAACTAGGTGTTCAAAAATTTAAAAATTGAATTTAAGTTAGCTTCTGATAGCAGGAAAAGGGCAACAAGGAGTAAAACATTATTTATCTCTTTCTAAGTGGGCTATTTCTCATATTATAATTTACTCTTACATGTCTGCTTTAAACTTACCAATTTTTTGTTTAACCTATTACAATGTGCAACAAGCGCAAAGATTCCTGCCAGAAAATACTTTAATCAAATATAAATATAAAAAGTTTAGATAAATAGCATGATTGCGCAAACGAGAGCTAAAATGCTACAGATTAATATTTGTTTGAATTTAAACTACTGTCTGTACCAGATGATTATATCAAGAAATCATCGCCGTTATCGACATTACTGTACTAGACGTTTGGGTGTAAATTCGTTACAGTTATATCGAGATATCGTACTGTAATTGCTAAACTACTAGTACATAGAAGCAGCAGACAGCATTTTAAGTTAGAGAATGACCCCCTAACTTTTTTAACATAACGCAACAAGATATACCCCCTACAAAATAACAACTTTAGTGTATCCTGTCACTTATCTACAGTATTACCTACAAGGTTATAAAAACACTGATATGTTAAAACTATCAAATGTTAAAAAGAGATTCACTTATGATATAGAACTACATACAAATAAATTGTTTGTGATCATTATGTTTGTTACTTGATACTTTAGTGCTCTATGAATATCTAAGATATCTGTTATTAACATTTACCGATAATCCTACATAGATATCCTGAGCAATCTGAATGGATATATTTCCATAAACTGCCCTGGCTGTAAACGAAACTCCACCAAAAGCCATAGAGCAAATACCTAAGATAAGAGTAGTTACACCAAGACCCAGATTTATGCGGCGTAAACCAGTTGGCAATGTGTAATTTTTTACTGATGATTGATTCTGCAGCATCTGTTGCAGTTGCTGCTGTTGAAATGCTTGAGAATGAGAAGACGGCATAGTACCCAGAATATTCACCTATTGATTAGTCAACTGAAGATTTTATAGACTCTTTCGATCTATTATAATTGTTAATATTTTATCTCTAGCTACTTTAATGTTGTCTGTACACGTATACCAGAGTTATCAAAAATATTAATTGTTGTTCTACTGTGCAAGATCTAATTAAAGATTAAAATGTTGGATGAACAATTGATAACGGACCGAAATCAAAAGCCTACGAAAACGTCGTGCTCAGCTGCTAAGCAACACAGACTTATTAGTCAATCAATTCTAATATTCATGTGAAGTCTGAGTATATGTGGCTACAGTGTATTTTATTCTGCATAAATATACAAAAGTGGTAATTATAATTACAGGAAAAGTTATTAAACCAATGCACTAGAAAGTATTTCAGTATCAACTTCTACGCTAATGAAGTCAAAATTATTTAAATTATCAATTACAAGGCAGAGCACGAACAAAGCATACCATATATTATCTAAGGTAACTAGTTGCACAATAATTTTTCCACCCTCATTGTGTAAAAGGAATGTAAATATAATGAAGAAAATCAACCTCAAACATATCAAGAAGCCTACTAGCCACGCCTCTGATTTGATTATAAGTAGTGCAGGATCAATTTATGACTACTAATAGATTCAATTATTATAATTGCAAATGATCAATGGTAATTTAGACGCAGATAAGCTGCGTAAAAAGGATAAGTTATCATCGACTACCTATTCGTTCGCCCATGGTAGTTACTAAAATTTAGCATTTAAAATTACCATCGTTATGTATATCATGCTAGGTGACTAGATTAACTCTAACAGTTTAATAGATAATTAATATGAGAATCTACAGTATTAGTTTAATAGATTTCACTCAAGAAGAATATAATGAACTACTTACAGTATAATCATAAAGAGTAAAAATTGTATCATGAACCTATGGCCGCGTTTAATTCTGTTAACACTCGGTTGCTATAGCAATTACCCATAAGTACTATACATATAGCGTATATCGTCGATAAACGCTAATACTATCATTCTCTTTACTATTACATATACATTTTCTTAAAGCTGAAATGCATCAGCAGCATGATTTAATGTCGGTAGCCTCAATATGCAAGAAAGCATTCTACTTATTTAGATGGCAATAAGCTTATTATTAACTGCAGTATTATTTTAGCAGCACAGAATAGAATAATTTCTTACTATCTAAAAGGTTATGAAAAAAAGAATACTCTCAGAGCATATATTGAGACTCTTTTAACAATTAAAAAGAACTAGATCCCTTGTAATGTTTCCATTCTAGCAAAAGCCTGCTGCCATAGTATACGGTATCTAAGACATTAAACTATTATCTCTTTAAAATTTCTTGTATTCCAATATGATTAATAATGCCCAAGAAGTGACCATTAGGTACACAATTTCAATTTAATTACCTTCGTATAAGACATCTTCATGCTAGTAGAATGCATTCATAAATTTTAATCTATAGTGTCCAATATCTGGAACAACCAAACTTACAATCCATCGCAAAGTGTACAAAATAGATTGGGCGGCCACGAGATTTATCACCATCGAATTTTTACTGTCTAAGCAAGTTTTAATATGTGTTCTTTTTTTTTTTTAAAACAACTGATTCATTAGTTATTAAATTTTCGAGTATTACTAAAATAATTAATTTTTTGATAATTTTTACTTGGCTAGCTAATGTTTTCACGATAAAGTTGATTTAAATTTGCACAATATAGTTTTTTGTCGTAAAATTATAATTCATGGCATCAAATTAGAAATAAATAAATTATAATGTTGTGTTCAACACCTTTATCTCATATGTATTATCCTTTGCATACCTTGATTGGGCAACATTTTTAGTTAACTACTGCTCAATAAATGTGTTTGATTAAGTACCGTACTAAGTGAATTTGATTAAGAACTTATTTAAGAATTACTTAGATGATTCAGCAAACTATATAAAGTTCCATGTGAGTCTTTCAATCTAGTATAGAATATTTCTATTTCGACAACTTGAATAGCTAGTAAATAGTATAATCAAATTCATGAATTAGAATTATCTGTAGCCTCAGAAAGGATGGTATAAGCGCCTGAAGTTTCTTGATTTAAATTTACTAATCGATTTGAAGGCATTATTATTGCTCCTATTGGCGAAAATAAAATATATTTAATTAGTATTTTTGGATTAAGAACAATTCACTTGAACTTTAACTACTGACTTTGATATAAACTAAGTACCGAGCAAATTAAATAACAGTAATAGCAGAATGTACCGGTCATGATTATGCTACGCTGTTCTTAAATAGCACAGAAATACTGTATGCATATTCAAATTTTTTAACGTGGTTATACCGAAATTTATTCAACTTTACTAAAATCATTTAATCATCCACTAAACTGATTTAGATAAGTAAATATATTTTATAAAACGATACCGTACGAGTATATGACACTTTTACCTGGTTGTCCTGATGGCTGTTGTAAAGTAGCGGCTTGGTTGGGATTTGTAGTATTTTCATAGTACATCGTACGAGCATTCTAAATTATAACGGATAAGATGGATACTCATTTAGAATGAAATTAAGGTTCCCTTACTCAAGAGAAAAGACTAATGCAATCTAATAAACTGTTGCAGGTAATCAGAGAATGTTTATGTAATGTTTATGTAATGTTTCAATATCCTAAAGCGGTTCCTAATAGATAGATTAGTAGTCGTGTTAAATCTATCTATAAACTAACTTGCGTTCGTATATTACTTAATCGTATGTATCATATTTATACTTAGCGTTATATATATATCTCGTTATGTATTTCACGTTACCGTTGTTCCACAGCAATATATAGCCTTTGAGAGTATTATGACGCAAGCAAGAGAAAAGCTGATCGCGAAAAGGGATAAAATCATAGTTATGATGTTATGCCATAACACAAATATATAGCCAAAACATGGAATTAGGCCTAATATAAATTGGGCAATGGCAGCATGGAAAGCCAGGATTGAGAATGAGTAATAAGTATGCATCTGAAATAACAAAAATTGATGGTGATTGTTATCCTTATAACTTCAAAGTTTAAATTGTTAAAGTGATTAATATATCTTTTAAATCGTAATAAATGACGATAAATATCTTACAAGATGTGGATTCGTTTGATTGTAGTAAGTTATTATTCCAAACAGTCCGGTCATAGAATACTAATAGACGATATTTAGCGTTAGTAAAAAATTCACCGACTTCATTTATCACAAAAATTCCAGATTCATTAATCTATGCATGCTCTGGATGGTAGTTTTGTATTCCCTTTAGAGCGATGCTTACAATCAATCCGATCCAAACGTCTTGTCCGATAACGATGCTGAAGTTAGTTTCGTATCCTGGCATCATATATCCAATTCCACCTATAATGCTGCTTATCAAACCTGTTACGAATAAACTAATTGCTAAACCAAATGAAGCATGACGATATCGGCCTTCTAGAACGAGGCTCTTCAGTCCTGATATTTGATTTAGATCTTCCTCTAACTGTCCGTATTGAAAGCTATCCGATGCCATACTTCGTTACCGTATCTTTTATAAAAGCTCGTGAATATTACAAGGATTATTTCGATTCTCTATTCTAATGCTCTAACTACGGTATAAAATGCTCTTTAGCAGTAAATGCCACTTTATGCAACTTTTGATTCACCAATACAACCTATTCTGACAATAGTGATTATCAACGTTCGGGATTTAGCAACCAACAAACAAGTTTCCCACGTATTTTACAGGTATCACGTGTTACACCTTAATCTATAGTAATTATTTTACTGTAAATTCCAATAATTCAGTAATAAAGCGGCAGTCGACAAATTAAGTCTATTAAACTCACTGACTAATAATTAATGCGAGTAAATCACATATGCGTAAATATCATATAGAAAACAAAGACAAAACCGATGAAATATTTACCAAACTTTTATATTAACGCACTAATTTGCATGAATTTCATTATTTTAAACTATAAATACAGATGTAGCTTAAGTATGCAATTATTGAATGATAAGCTTCATCCAGTAATCTTAGATGACATTGGAAATATCGTTACAAGAATTATCTTTCTTCAAAATTTTAGGAATTAAACCTGAGTTGTACGAGTATGTTATGCTACTGAATTAGCAAAAATTAACAGGTTTCTCCATCTCTTGATAATTACAGCTCTTAAGAGAACTACCTGACTGAACTAAAGTTAGGAGATAACTATTCCGCTAAAGAACGTAAATACGTATATCAGCAACAGCTTATCATAACTTTATGCAGAAAATTATATACCGTTGACAATTTCGAATTTCTCAATAGTATGCTACTGTATCACAATCACAATCTATATACACTCTTCCTTAAGGGAATGTTATCGTGCAATTTATAAGAAACTATTCTTATAGTTCATGAAGATAGCTGATTAATTGTATTATTGAAATTAATTTAACTATATAAAGTAAAGCCGCAGAACCTGAAAAAATTACCATAACTCATATTTTCCAGCACCCTTGAAATATTTTATCAAGCCAATCAAGGTAGTTTATATTAAATCACCTCATATAGAAGGAATCTCAAATAGTTCAATCTCAGACAGGGGATGGTAGCGATAAGAATAAGAATGATCGCTACCGCTAGCTATCATCATAAATATATTTAAAGGAGATGAAAAAATCTTTATAAGATTAAAGTACGAATTACAACTCTAAATTTCTTGTTAAAATTACAGCGACAGTAAAATAATTTGAAATCAGATTTGTGCAATTCACAAACTACTTCTAAATCTTTACGAAGAACTTCTTATCGTACTTCCATTAATAACAGTAAAAATGTTTATTAAGAACTGAAAAAGTGAAATCTGCAATAAGGTACATCAGGTCGAACAACTTTCAATTACATTGGTCGTAGAGTAATACTCTGTAAATGAAATTAGCATGAACAAATCCTTTCCAGGAAGCAAATTATCCACCAAGATTTATTTCGCTTCACTTATTCAAATAGAGTCATTTACGAAAAATGATATAAGTATAATAATAATTTTTAATACAAGTATCTCACAAAATATTTGTTTTTGTCAGTATAGAAGGTAAAAAACTGATTTTATTACTGAGTTAAGGATAGCAGAGTAATAATTATTTGTATCAAGAATCTAATTTAATGTATCCTGAGCTTAAAAATAAGAAGCTTACTGGAGGCGCTTCTCTCCAGTCCTTATATGCCTTTTGTTCGATCTATTTACGCCAACAAAACTGCCTGTAATTAGGCTTAAATCATCAAAAAAAAGACTTTGCTTAAGTAGATCATTAATATTTTTATTGTGTGAACCAATCTGCTTAAAATCTCATTTCTCTTCTATCATAAATTTCCAACATCGTGTGGTGCGTGACATCTTCATAATTAGCGTATATCAAAACAACATAAATCTTGTACCGTAATTGATTAAGTGGCTAGTATTAGAAAATCAGCAATTTCCAGTATCGTAATTAGCAATTATCAAATAGTAGCATCATGATAAAATCTATTCTCAAAAATCTGAATATACCAAATATAGCTATCGATACAATCAAATGGGAGAGGGGGATTACTACAAAATATATATATGCATCTTCGACTTCAAGAGAGATAACAGAAATGAGTCTCACTTGCACGAATTATTTTTCTAAGCAACGTTTGTTCAACGTCTAGTATATTAAACTCTACGTATCGATCGATATATTCTGCACTTATACATATTGTGATAGAGGGTTCGAAGGGTCTGCGGACGTGGACTCCTTAGGTATTCTACAATAATGATACGAGGGGTTATTAGCAAAAGAGATATTTATTACAGAGAATAACTAGGTACAGTGAGGAAGTTATTGGTAGATCAGTGTGTAAGCTGTCGTGAAGTAACGTGTGTAGATAGTAATACTAATAAGTGCAACAGAACAAATCTGAGGCAGAAATCATCAGTATTTATAGTTTTAGATAGAGAACACTTGCAGAGAGCAGAATTGTAGAATTAGATACATCATATACCATAAACAGGCTATATAATAGAAAATGATTGAAGGAAATAGCGAAGACTGTAGGTGCTATAAATAACTAAACATGACAAGCTATATTTGAACATAGTTGAAATAGACTATAGAATATATGGAGATATCTATATTCGGAACATAACAAAATGTCTATATTTAAGAAAATATCTAAAAATTACAGTAACAACTAAATATACTACACATATAGAGTGCTATAATATCAAAATATTGCAATTATTATCAAAAAATTCTCATCAATATAGTCATCCTTCAATTAAGCTTATATACTATTGGTATACAAAGGAATCTTGATAACCTAAAATTTTTACAGTTACAACTTAGCCTTTGCAAGGTTACAAAGAATACTGTTGATACGGAAGTAGCAGCAGTGGCTACGTCCTTTATTATAATCTCTCGTTTTTTAAGGTACTAAATAGGAAGCTTCTTGTAGCACTTGCAGTTGTTGGGGAGAAGAAGTGGGTACTTGTTGCAATATTTGCGATTGTGTTAAGCAGTTATTGAAATTCCTGCTGAGGAGACTGTATTTGCGGGGATGGTACCTGCGATCCTTGTTGCAATATTTGTGATTGCTGTTGTTTTATTTCCTCCTGCTGCTTCTGTAACATGCCAATGAGTTGTTGCTGCTCCTTAATAAGCTTTTGTTGTTGTTCTAATTGTTCCTGTTGTCCTTGCATCAAGGGTTGTTGTATCTGTTGAGCTTGTAATTCTGGTCTCCTTAATTGCTGTGACTGCGGTACGTTTACTGCTGTAATTCTATTTAGTTGCTGTTGTTGTAGTTGTATATCATATTTCGATCTAGTATAATTCCCTGATTTCAGTATATTTCCTATATCTATAGAATCAGTGGTTAAGACAATTTGAGGAACCAACGCGTACATTTTATCATGTTCTCTACGTAATAATATTGGTTGTCTAGCTTGAGGAATCCAATTATCTAGATAACAAAGGGAATTGCTTTACTAATACATGTTTGCGATGTCGTATCATCAAATTTTATATTTATTTCATATAAATTATTTAATAAAGGCAATCACATTGGAAATTATACGTAGTTGTGAGTATATCTTACTGTAATCGTTGATATTTTTGATATAGTTTTTACTATTTTTCTCTGAAAGTTGTGGTAAAGTCACAGTAGGATTTACATCCAATGCGCCTTTAAATTCAGGCTTTTTCTTCATTAGGTCAATTCCTCGAGTGGAAGCACCGAAATCATTTGTATTTCCAGATTGACTGCGAGCAATATTCGAATAATCCCCATCGTTAGCATTGTCCTACAATTGAATACCGGTAAGCATTAAATCCATATATATAAATACTTGTGAGAATCATTTCGTCTATAGATTGTAATCCTCATGAAATAAATCTGCTTCTTTTCGTTCTTCAATAATTCTAATTATAAATGATTCGGGGTGAATACTTTATTGCAGGGCCTATCGTTAACAAAAGGTTCTACGATCGCAAACTAAAATTCAAGCACGAAGGCAATCTCTATTACATTACCCTAACTACTTATATCCTTAGCTTGTTTACAACCCGAAGATGATAAACAAAAACTATATTATTGAATAACATCTATTAACTTACTAGACTCGTCATATGAGCGAATTTTACGATTAACATCGTTTCCTACGAAATTAAAACTAGTGTATTCATCACACTAACAACATGACCATGCTTGAATTTGTTAATACTAACTGTAAATAACAATGTGATGTTTGCAAGTACTTCTAATTTTATCATTAACTTGTATAGTAAACCTTAAACGATATCATATCCTTCTATGCGAAAATTAATAGTACGACAGTCTATTAAAAGTAACCAAAGTTTCATAATCATGATAACATAATGAGTCTTACTTTCCCTAATCATGACAACGTAATGAGTCTTACTACTTAAATCATGTATCCAACTATGAGTCTGAAACTAACGCTATTGCAATCATTAAAGTTGGTACTGTGCTATTTCGGATTTGCAATAAAGAAATACAGAATAGCAAAAACTTATATTACCAAATATGATGATCGATAATGTTGAAGATGGTGAAACTGAATTAGTAACAGATGCATAGCACATCAGAATCAAACTACGAAAAAAATACTAACAATCTATATCGTTTTACACTAGTTACGCAACGAGCACTGTGCAGCAGAATCATTAATTAAATATAAAAACTTACCAATTCGGTAGCCGTACAAGATGCACATCGACAACAACTGCAATAGATGCTCGCAGATAGTATTATCATCGTCGTCAAAGATAAAACAAACATCGAAAATGCTATCAATAATGACACCAAGCTGTGCCAAAATGTAGGACTGAGAATGCCCAATATGCATAGTACGAAGTGAGCGATAGACATTAGAAAAATCAGAATGCTAAACGCATAATAGCAATGAGTCTGTTGAACAATAAAGCAAATTGAACCTCAGTTAGTCTTAGTTTGTAATTAAAATGACTGAATTCGAACTAAAAAGGCTACATTTAAGTACTACGAAGCCTATAATAGTAATTTGAAACTACGTAAAATGAACTACTTTCATGCTAAGAGATCGATACAACTTTCCATGGCACAGTAAATCTGTCAATAATTATCACTGCTCTTTTTAAAATTCTAAAATCTTACCAGAGCTCGAACGTTTCGACGTATTTCGGATGCTATCGCAAAAGTACCAGGAATCATATACTAGAGCATCATTTAGGAAAAAACAGCAGTTAGCTAATATAAATTATTAAAAGAAGGGCTTCTCTTTAAATCACACGGCATATAAATTAAACCAATTAAAGTAATTAATAATTCCACACTCACGCCAATCGTCAAGAATTTATCGCTTTAACTATTACTCTGAAAGCACGATAGCTCAATCATTCGTCAAATCTATTAACTTCAATAGACTTACAAATACTCCCATCCATATATCTGCGCCAATGACAATATTCACATTCAGCAGATAAGCAGGTAAGAAATATCCAACAATACCAAAAATAACACTTAGAAAACCAAATAACAACATAGCGATGCCAATTCGAAATAAATGCCGCCGTAGATGACGTGGTATAGTGGACCACATAGCAGCGTATGTTTGGAAACCTTCAAGGCTTTCTGATGGATGAGAATGCAATGGGATTGTAGACATAGCGCTATAACATAGCTCCTATCAGTTTAGTAGTTGAAAGTTATAAAATCAGTTGGAAATTAAGTTAGCTTTCCCAACCAAGAAATATTATCGACGAGCGCCTAAATCAACTAAAACGTATAATTCTAGCTCCTATACCGTCCGCTCTATGCAGTCTGTGATTGTTGCTAACAATAAATAAGTATATTCAGGTATCTAGCTATGGTGTTGGCCCTAGCAATTGCTTCAAATCATCATAGTCCTTCCAGCCCAAGTCTATAATATATATAATTGTCTATCACGTGCTCGTAAATTCAACAGTTAACATCACATTGTCCTATTTCGCTGAAAGTAGAGACTTACTCGAAAAGTAAGGAGTTCTAAATTTGGATATATGACTTTACCACTATATCATGTGCTTCTATTTAAGCATGTCGATCAAATTTGGCTCATTTACGTTGAAGGCTTGTATCTCTATTAAGCCAAAAGGTATCAATGATCAATTTTTGATGATCAATCTATGATTAAATCATTGATAATTTAAGGATAATTCAACAGAGTTAGTGCGATCATGGAAAACCAACTAGCATGCAAAAGGATGCCAGTAGACCAAACAACAAACTCTGAGAATTTACTGTATAACAGCAAATGTTATGATCACATTACGCTTGCAATACGCCCTATTCGTCTTTTAAGGTGATAGTAGTGCAATAAATAAAGATGTAATACTAACATTAACTATGAAGTCATGCAATTTTATGGCCGGATGTATCAGTTAATGCCATTAAATTAAGTAGAACCGTTAAATAATACAGTGTCCCACCCTAAAAAATGTCATGTAAATAGTAACAGTAATTCTGCTGAAGTTTTCAAAGTCTCAATTGTTTTACCTAGCAAATAAAACTTGAAATGTCTTTGTACTTTGTACGCTTTGTCTTAAATGACGATCAAAAAAATTTGATTATTTTCAATATTTAAGGAATGTACTTAATGTTTACTCGATAAAAATTAGAAGTATGTATGTATAATAAAACAATTTACTGCTGTACGGTAATGTAGATAAACTAATTTTAGTATTGATGATGCTAAAGGGCTTAAAATCCAATAAGTAATACCTTTCTTCCAACCGGTAGGATGATTGCATTAGATTTTATTTCCAACTACAAGCTTATTAACAAAGTAGAATTTATGTACTTGACATGCAAATCGTTACATGCAGGTGATACTATAGTTGGTTTTGCATTTCTGGAGTACCTACAGATAAATTAAACTATATTGGCGATTGGTGTTCACCAATATTATGAAATTATGGTACCATAATGTACAGCATAATCAACTAAACTAGCCATATAACCGGCTTACAAGTAAAAATCTAGTAATATAGTGCATCAATATAGGAAGAATACATATTTCCATAGCGATGCTAACAATAGTTAATTTATACTTGGAGAATTTCTATCTTATTACTGAATTATTTAATTTATTCCAGTAATTGTGGATGTCTGCTAGTTTATTACTCCTTAGAATGCCGCAAGAGAAAGGTTTTTCCACGAAGCCGATTGTCACGGTACGCCGTTACTAATTAAGTAACTGTAAATTAATGAATGCTTATGAATAGATAAGATAAGGTTATGTGCTATGTTTTAATGCGCTTGTAGCTGATAATAGGATGTAGAAATGAGATAAAAATAGAAGTTGTTAGCAGTTAATTTACTGTAGGTTTATAAGTTGTGTTAATCTCTAAAAATTGAGCTGTATATGGACGAAGGTTAAGCGTCTTAACACCTGATAGCTTGTAGCTATCTAAGTCTGAGGATATCGACATGTATATTTAGTAATGGTATTATACTAATTAATGTAACTTGTAAAGCATGAATTCTCACTCGTTAATATTGGAATTCACTGTAGAAACCTATTTAAGCGCGTGTGTTTGTAGAATAAAGAAAGTAATTGCTCAAGAAACGGCAAGACTCATATCGTGAAGAATAGTGTAATAATTAGTCAGTCGTCTGTGGAGATCAGCCGAGAAATCGAGTTCTCAAATACTTCTCTCATAGAAACTGAAAGTTCTGGGAGAAATAGCCCAAGTTTTAAGTAACTACACTAGAGTTCTTTACTTTCCTTTGCCACAAGTGAGGGTTGTGACACCGATGTGTACTACAATAATATGATATTTAGACGAGAAATTAAATCGCCCTGTATAGTTTGTTACTGCTATTTCGTATCGCCGTATCGGTCTTGTTAAATTGCCTTTGTGTGGTACAAATATGTTTATTAGTCAACTGCTTTATGCTGTAAAAAAGCACCTCAAGAATGTTATCATAATGTTAGATAAGATACACGTGTTCACACCAATGGTAAATTATATATAGAGAGAGGTGCATTTTATTCCTTCAAAAAGAAGGAAGAACTATTTTTCTTTCTCAAACAAGCAAAAAATTAAATCAATTCGTCCACCTTCAGAAAAGGACTAAACCTTATTTGTTGTACACTCAGCGAAAGTTGAGCACGCTTTCATAAAATTCAGACTGAGTCATAACAAATTTATATCTAAATAAGAAATTATACTCATAGAATTATGTACTGCTCATTAATCAATTTTGCTAAATCTCGCTTCTCGTAGTTATATTTAGTTTCTATAGACTAGAGGCTGATATTCTATTCTACTTGTATGTGCTTGGAAATTACAGAAAAAATTCTATTAATGGAGATTTATTCAGGCGGAAGTATAACTCAGTACCTAGATCATTTACAACATATAATCCAATCTTAAGCTAAATACTAAGTAAATTTGTATAGTATACGCTAGAATTACACGATAGCTGTACCTGTGTCATCATATTTTTGTCGAATTTTCTGTTTATCTCTTAAGATGAGCTGTAAACTATCCTTTGCAGAAGGTATAGACAAATTTATAAAAGCATGCACTGATAAGATTATGTGACGATTGTATAAATTAAAATTCTTCTTACCCTTGGATGAAATTATTATAAAAAATCCAATTGCGCATAATTTTACTCAATAACAGACAACGATATCTTAAAGTTATGGAATTTTATTATGTTGGCTTTTTTTGCATTTTATATGTGACTACATTTTCGCAAAGGGTGAAATAACGGATAGCACTGCTCGCTTTATTGAAATGAATAACTGGCTGCAAGTTGTTCATCTACAATTAGCCTTCATTAATAGCTTCTTCTATTGTCATTTCACATGCCACTTTAGTAATGTGTTGGAATGCTTTTGCAGAATATTTTGTACCACCAGGACAAGTCTTTTTGACATCATCATCAGTACATGTGCTTTTGCTTTTCTTACTCTTACAGCACTTTCCCTTCAGTTTGTTAAATTCTGTCTTAGCAGAATCACGCTTGTCATAGGTATCTAGGAAAGTGAGCGCTTCATCCCGATCTTGAATATTCTCTGCATGATATAAATTGCAAAATATAGTAATGATTTAGGATTAGCGCATAGCCTTGAATATTTGAATAAAAGATAACAACGTATCTTCATAAAATTATCAAGTAGAATATATTTTTAATCTTTAACTCCTTTCTGAACAATACTTGAAGAGACCACAGCCGCATATTATATAACATAAAATGTAGAACGAAGGTAATTTTGTCAGATTTCTATTGTTAAAACTTCGATACCGTAGCACAGGAAAAATTATCATTAAATACTATGCTTTAGAAATATCTGAACCTTACCGTAAAGTATATACAATTATAATACTGCTACGTTATAGTAGTTGGGTCTAAAAGCAATCTCATACCTACCAATCAAAACCTAACAATTTTCTAAATCCCAAATTTCAAGTAAGAAATATATTATAAATCCTGATATCTATTCCGCTATTGGTAATTTAAAATGAAAAACTAACCCTATAATGTAAAGCGACTGATTACTAATTAACTGAAATCTAGTTGCTGTTAAATAAGCCCAATCGTGGAAAAATTTTCAATAATTATAACGTCATATGATACATTAAACTATGGTTACACAATCCAACGGAAAATATAACAAAAATATTCCTTATAATATCGATATTATATTACTTAAAAAGCTGATTTAAATCGAGCTAATTTACTATATCCATCAAGTTTTCAATTCATGCTAAATAAATATGACAATCACTATTACATAAATAATACTATACTAGTAAGCTTTCGCACATCCAGTCATACATTATTACTGAGTATATCGATAATCAGAGCGATATAGCGTAAAAAAATTGATTCGCTTTATAATAATGAAACGTCTTCAATAATTCTAAAATTTACATTTGCTATCCAATCATAAAAATGATACAAGCCTTCAAATTCTATTAATCAATAAGACTACAAAATGCAAGTATCCACCTTTTTGATTGTCAACGAATATAAAAGTAGCGTAGCATCTTAAGATCTTCACTTTTTGTGTCAAACGTACTTGCAATCGAATTTTAGTATGATCATTGTAATCAAAATGTCTACCAATATCTATCCATATTTAATTGAGAACGGAAGCTATTGATCATAAGTGATTATACAGTAATGTGCGCTTGTTAAATAATAAATAGAAAGATGTACAATACTCATATACTTCTCTTACGTTGCAAAACATACAGAAATGAATAAAAGAAATCTTGTAAATAGGAAGTCGAAGGCATGATAAAATTAGATATTCAATAGATAGCCTCGAACTGAAAGTCAAGCTGATAATTTACCAAAGGAAAATGAATTAAATTAATGACTCTTTGGTTCTGTTAGTGCTTGAAAGCCACTTAGTTTTATTCTGTTACAAGCTTACCATTATTTTTCAATTCTTCATCTAATCGAGTTGTGATACCGTGTTTTCTTAAGCATTTTTGGCTGACCGGACAATCAATGAAGTGGAATTTAATGTTACAGAGGTGGAAATAGCGCGCCACTATAGTTCTATCGTCATGGCATACGATAGGTGTTGTTTCGACGGTTTCACCAATGTAAAAGTTTTCAAGAAGACATTTTGTAGATGCCTTTGGTTTTGCAGCACATAAGACAGCCAATGTGAGCAAAATCACCACTGAAGTATAATGAACCATTTTATTTCTGATATCGTTGTATGTAACTCAACCTCTCTACTAAATTCTAATCAAGTATAACGAAAAAATATCGCTCAGAAAATGATTATCAACCTTTAAAAGCTATTTATTTCCATTTATACATTATCAATATAGTTATGCAGCAAGAATAATTATTTTTATGTAATGTAGTGGGTAGTTTAGAACAAGACCTATTGCCAATAATATTGTATTTTTTAAATTTCAACTTACGTAACGCTACGCCTAGTCTGTCGCTTAAGCCAAAATTGAGCCAGCAATGGACTATGGAGTGCCTTATATACTTATGGCCAGGGTATTTTGATTTCATTAAAACTTTTCATTATCTTATTTTAGTAACATGTCAGCTTTACAATGTATTTAATAGAAATTCAACCACCATAATTGGGTTTTCTAGCCCATAATCGAAATCGAATTATATTGTAGCTAAAAATATACGATTCGAATCAATCAAATACTAATTGATGTTATGATGAACAGGTGCAAGTGGGCACCGGCCTTATTGACATAGTTGATGAAATGTGTGCTCTAGGTTACAATCAACCCATCCTGTTTCATGTTGAAATAATACAATATATTTATTTATGTTCTTCTATTAACTTCTCTTTTACTGTCATCAAAAGCCATAAAAAAACTCTTTCTGTTATCATTATTCGATCTTACTAATCAGCTTGTTTCTAGTAGAAATAATCAATTTATCTGCTAAAAACGAAGTATAAATAAAATTTTTCCAAGTTAGAACCTCTCTATCTTCTAGAGATCACTTTTACTTAGAGCCAAACCTAATAATTTCTGAAAATAGGAGGAAATCTCAAGAAATTGCTTACATTCTAATTGCTCAATTTAATTGACCTTTTTGATTGAAAATCAAAATTAAAGTGGTCATTAAATGATCATTTTCTATTTATTATCGTTGCTATCTTATTAAAACATATTAAAGACGTCATTATTTGTAAATCAAAAATTTTGGCTTATAGCCGAATACGAAGTGAAGTTTAGAAGCCTAGATTATATACTGAGCCATTGGAAGAAATCAATAGACCCGTTCAGCCGCATAAAACGGTATTGACAAAGAAGATAGCATTAATGCTCATAGATATATCAATATAAACTTTCTACCGGTGAAATTGATACATTGAAACTATAGACATGAATGAAGTCGGTCCTATTTTATTTTTTCCTTTTTTAAATTTATTACTTAATCACGTACGCTCTATTTTACCAGTCTGGCTAAAGAGACATTACCTGTATTGAAAATATTTATAGTCCGCATCCATCGCGTAATCGTGATTTAGCTTTCAATTACATTAATTAAACTATTACAATATAACAAAATAATTTAAATAGAATTAATTCCAGTTTATGACAGTAACAAAAACCTTGCTATAAAATTAAACAGAATTTGACTATAATAAATTTGATGAAAAAGTAATTTAACCAATAAATAGTTTTTTCATCCTTTTATTAGTAACCATGTTTATAAACATTTATCTATCAAGGAATATGAAAACATCTTAACTGGAAAAATTAACTTCATCTTATTAAAAAATTGGAAAAGCTGATAATTAGAAGATCCATACTCATGCTTTATACGGTCTTAATTTTAAATCGTATCAGGGGAAGATAGCGAAGCTGATGAATTTTTAAAGTCATTTAGTTGAGAATTTTACACAAATGGTATCGATAGTTGCTAAGTCTAATCAATTTGATGAAGAAAAATATTCTTGTAAAAAAATTTAAATTTATTGCCAGATGTGATTACGATGCCGGTAAGTCAATAGAGTCATTCAATGACGTCAAAAGTGGATTATGATTAGCCATAACATTGAAACTTTATTATTGTCAAGTATCGAGTTAATTTCAAATTGTTTCATGAATCAAAATCATAACATTATTAGTCTTTGACGACACATTAATAAAATGACTACGATGACATGGAAAATATTTTAGAGCGAATCCCATTAGAATCGGGTATAACATTTTATTTAAATACTTCTGTAGATACCATAACAATTATTCGCCATTAAGGCGATAGCCATAGACTAATGAGTATTGTGATTATGTAATTTCTTCTGAGATCTTCTATAGATAGGTGATATTTTACACATCTATCGATATCGGAGATAGCCTGAACCTTAGTTGCACCATTTGTATGGTGACTACTAATAAACAAATTTCGATTTAGTATGTTGCTGCAATTGCAAGAAGGCAGTTAGCGATCTGATTAACTGACCAGCCGAGAATAGAGCAGGTATATTACTTCGAAGTTATTTGTTGATAACTTTGATATTGGATTATACTGATAGATATTGCATTACCGTAATTATAACATGATACAGTAATATAATTCTTCTTAAATCATTTCATGATGCGTTTTCGCTTTAGTTAAGTTAGCTGTTAATATTAAAGGTAATGCTTAGATAGAAGCATATCTTGTAACAGAAAATTTTACTCTTGGATATTAAATTTAGTTGTCTGTGCGAATAAAAAATTTTTAATCACATGTAAAAAATTGTAGTTTATAGCACATTTAGTAATTCGGAGTTCGCTTCAGGTTTGGTATCGATAAGCGTACGTTGGAAAATCTGACTTGAAAGAGGGTCTAAGTTCGAAGCTATTGTGGTTGCTATCTTAACTCTATTAACATAAACCTATAAATGATTATTCATTCCAATGAATGTCTTATAATGGAGTATAACTCTGCAATCCATACGTTAACGAATGTACTTCACCAGGTAGACTCTAGTTATTTCCATATCAATCACAAAATAGCTATTTATAAATCTCTGATTAGAATCACAACCATTATAATCTCTCTTTCCATCGTCTAATTTTGTTGTCATGAGGTACTTAAGCAAGAATAACATGATCAATAGCCTTAGAGACTTCTTTATCGCTAGACAGAAATAGTATGTCGGATTAGAAGATTGAATCGAAAAATCGATTCGAATGTACGGTTCACCACAAAGCCTGTTTGTTAATAGAATATTTAACCGAAAGTTTGCGACCTATTTTTACGCCTATAATTGAAATTTAAAACATAGCAGTACAGATTTTGTTTACCGAATACCAGATGATTCAATTAAATTGTTGTTACAAAGTGAATCTTTGTTGCACAAATACTTATCTTATTTTCATTACATAAAATAGGTTAGTATTTGTTGTAATATCGCTATCTATAGAACGGTGTTATACATAGTTTTACTTTATAGATAAGGGAATAGTTGTATGATATTATCTATCTAATGGTAACTAATATTATTGTAACCCCTACTATAAAATGGCTGACATTTTAATAAAGTTTGGGTTCAGTTTTTGTCTTAGAGATTCTAACGCTTTACGGCAACATTCTGAAGAGAAATCGTCAATATTTAGACTTGTACCATAGGTAGATCTTAAAAAGATAGACCTGGCAGTGGCTCTAAACATTGATTTTCAAGTAATAATTTAATTTTTCCTTGTTTAAAGTCTCGATTTGCAACAAATTTTTCGTCAGAATTGCCCAGGAATGTGAACGAGACTGTTTACAACATTCTGGTAACTTTATCTATATCCTAATATCTACTCTAATTCATCTTTTATGTTATATTCAAATTTATATCGGTGTCAGCATAATTAATAGATATCGTAATTAAATGAAGTACAGTGTGTAATCCTTCAACTTTGATAAAATCTAAGATCGAATTATTCATGTTGATGTTCCTGAGTAGTAGAAATGTAATAAGCTAGGCTTCTTCTATTTTTAATACGATATTTTTATTTCCTGAAAATTCTTTTTTCTTAATGGAAATTTTATGCAAACATTACGGTAATTTACAATTATGCGATCGTTAATTTGTTTATATCAAAATAAATTATCCTAGATTTTGCTCAAGACAATAAATATTCTGACATTATTAACTTCCGTCCGCTGTGAAAGCTATGCCATCGCCAAAACATGGTATAATAATTCAAGAATTTGCTCTAGGTTAGCTTTCTCCTTTTTAGATATAATACCTCTTAATTACTTTAGATAATACTTCATGAACACTCATCACATCAAAAAAGGTTATAATTTGATGATTCTGTTCGTAAATATCAAAGTTTTATCTCATCAAATCTTTTTATAGCACGAATAAGTAACCCTATTCAAATAGTCATAGCTCTATTTCGATGCGATAGATAAACTAGCGAAAATAAATAAATACGGAACCTGTTCTTAATTTAAACTATAATTACTGTAATAACTACGAACATGACGCCGCAAAAGTGCAAATTACTGTCATTGTTTTAAAAATCGTTCTATATCTTAAATTTTGACTCTTTCCTGACTTAGAATTAGGATTGAATTATGCCACTACTAAAGCTAGCATTAATGCCGCCCGTTGCACTGTATTTAACAGTAATATTTAAAGTGCTTCAGTAATTAGCCGCTACGCCATATGACGTAATATTCTTCTAACATATCTAGATAGTTCTTGTTTTTAACATGTATGCTAGGAATACTTTAGAAATAGAGATAATACTTAGCAGACCATAACATAATCCGGAACCCAAACAACTACAATTTTCACAAGTATAACGCTTCAGATTTTGCCTATGGCTATAGAACAGAAATCAACTTCAAGATGGGATATTGCAATTTTCAAACTGTAATACTTAAGTAAATTTTTGTCATTGATCAATTGCCAAATAGTGGCTTTAAAGATTTAAATAAGTAACTTTTCGTCTAAAATTATAGGTACTACCTTAGAGTTTTAAAGAGACCAAAGTAATCTAGAAGACTATGGTTTATTCAGTTTGCAGTAACCTAACGGCTACCGAGACTATCAAAAAATCGATGTTTATAAGTCATTATTTTATAGAGGCAATTACTAGGCAAGTAATATATTTTAGATTGAAATGTTAGAATTAAAAAAATGTGATCTTAGACCGATTTTTTTAAGATTCATCAATCGGAATACCCTAAGATATGGTTGTTTTCACTCAAAAACTTAGCATAGTTAAAGTCCTGAACTAGAATTAGAACATTCCCAACAGCAAGAAATACGTTTTAAGGAGTCAGTCATTTAGATTACATCTTGGAATTTAAGACCATACGATGTCAAAATGCGGAGGTAATTATTAATCATTTGATATACATAATTTTCGATTCTATTATCGATCATAGTTTGGTTAAATTACATACCATAAGTCTTTGATATTATTGAAATGGGAAATAAATAACAGATTAAATTACACTATGACCAGAATAATTGTCTATGACTGATGAACTATAGTTAATCAATATCTAGTTCATTTACTGAAATCCATTGTAGAAATTGACAAGTAGAGCCATTTTTATATGCAACGATTTATCTCTATCTAAAATTAGTTTACCTAAGAAAAGCGATTATTTTTAAACTTTTACGCCTGTATTGCAATAATAATTCTTAATTATCAAACCGTTGCAATCAATGCCAAAAGGTAAAGTAAAACTGCTATGTTCGATGCAAAATCTTTCGTATTCGAGCGACCAAGATTTTAGGTATTAAATCCACAGGATTGACAAAAAATTTATATAAAAACACATTCAATCAATATTGATTCTAAAATATGGTGCCTTTGCTACAATTTAATTCCAGTTATAGTAAATAATAAATAACGTAACTCTAACTACACAAGTGATATCGTATGACATTGCAAGATACATTTTATTCTAGGTGTCACGGTACGAACTACCGTGAAGAAATAGCTATCTAAATTTGGTTAATATAATATAGCGATAATATATTACAACTAGTTACTGACAATAGGAATTACTCTAATTATAAATATGTTACAGTAAATTTAATGCTGTGCTGTAATGTGCACTGAAATGATTCTGTGAATGGACATATTGTAGTCCGACTGTGAAAAATTAGTTACTAGATGTTCTCAACTAAGTATTTTTATAAGATGACTTATGATTGTTAGCTGCTGTACAAGGGTATATAAACCCGTCAGATAGTTGAATAAAATAGTTCTCAATTGTCTAGTTGAGTTTAACGTAGAAGCAAAGGCGTCTAAATTCTTATGAGGTTGCTAAGGGATACTGAATCCCGGAGACTATAGTAATTTAGAGATTTGTTTTACGTTATCCCTGTCACGAAGCTAGTTTGTGACACTAGGATATGATGTAATGACTGCAATTTAAAAATTTATGATTAAATATATGCATATCTCGGATGAGAATTACTGGAACAGAATTCTTAAAATCTTTACTAGGAAACTGTATGTCACAAACCAGCTTCGTAACAAAGATAAAGATAACGTAAATAAATTTCTAAATATAGTCTCCGGGATTTAGTATCCCTTAACTACCTCACAAGAATTTAGACGCCTTTGCTTCTGTTAAAACAACTATATAACTCTTCTTTTATTCAACTACCTGCCGAGCTTAAATACCCTTCGGCAGCAGCTATCACGTATGAGTCGTAACAGTTCATGAAATTTAGCTCATATTGGACAGCTAAATTAATACAGACATTATTCATAATTTTGGACATGCACTGAACGATTCTATATAATTAGACAACAGTATGTCTGTCCACTAACAGAATTATTTATAGTATCATCTATAATTGGATATCTTCACGATATTCATCACAAGCGTTCAAAGTCATAACACTATATAATCAATTGATATTAGTTACCTTATGAGAATTCTTACTACAATAAAGCATAATTTACAGTAACAAAATAATAACTATCGTAGTTCTTACCGTAAGTCATTGTTAGTTATCTCCATATATAAATGTAAAACACTAAATTTAGTCATTTACTCTTCACGGTGGTTCATACCGTGACGCTATAGCAATCGTACTTTAAAAGCAACGCAATTTAGAGAAAATGTCTCTTTATTTCAATTTACTGCCAATTGTAAGCTTTAGATGTATTTTTAAGAGAGCATTCATTTTAGAGTTTGCCTATAATTATCAAAATAGCATATAGTGTTCAAAGAAAAGACTAAGACAGACAAAAAATCTTCATCTAGAACACAGATAAGTAACCGCGTTAGCAATTAAACTTTATGGAAGGGTAAAGTAACTTTTACCGTAGTTCATCAACAAAATTATCTTACGAAAATCATTTTAATGAAAACTCATCATATTCAAAGCATTATCTAAATACGTTTATCGGTTAAATCACATTTTATTTAATATCATTTTTGCATGTAACAGTATTACTATGAATAGCATATTTTCTTTCATATAATCTTAATTAGTGTTAACTGGTGCAAAGTGGATAACGAATTATGATTTGCTATGAAATACGAATTACAGAAGTTGTAATAACAGATGCAGATTTGCTCATTAAGAGATTAAAGTTAGCTAGATGTAAATATTCTTATCTTGATTTATTTCATAATATAAATTATTCTGATGAGAGAAGATTAATAAGGCGTTTTTACTTTATCGCGCAATAGAAAGGCTCCTTTTAGTTTCTATAAGCTTGTGACTTGTATCGCCAGCTTGTGAACAAGGAAAATATAAGACACTGTACCCCCTTTTATCTTTAACAATAAAATTAGTCTTCTACGTACTCCTCGGTAACCCTCTTCTCGTAAGAACAATACTTAACAAAAATTACGACTATATAAAGAATGATAAATGCGGATGCAGATAAAGTAGTCAGGTTATTAATTAATCATACGGTATACTCATTTACTAGATAAACTTTATTTTAATCAGTAAACTAAACTAGTTAAAACCTCGAATTTTTATGCTATCATGTTTATTACTACTTCCTGTTGCTTCATATATGCTACCACTTCTATAATCAGAAATTTATCAAAGAAAATTCTAAAAATTCTAAAAATTAACTTTCATTATACAGGAATTGATAAGTAACATCGAATGCGTGCTCAGCTTATATTCATCGCAGGTTTATATAGCGAAGTTCCTCGCTCTTTCCTGTAGTGCAAACATATCTCACAATGTTTTCTTTGAGGGTTCTCAATTTACCTTTGCATAACTTATGATCAATCATAATAGTACTTAATAAATCAATAGCAGCACACATTATTATAAATCCAAAATCTTACCTCGATGCTATTTCATCAATGCATTTTTATTGTAGCAAAATTAAATTTTGGGGCATTTTTGATGAACAACTATAGTATTATAGCCCAAACTAATGAATGAATATTAATTTCTCGTACAATTTTATAGAAATAACGAACTTCACTAACTTCATCAAAATGTCGATATCTTAAATTAAAATTTAATATTGATAAAATGACTAAACGTTATTTCTAGCAGCAAGTTTCTTGCAAAAGGCAAATCCAAACAACAAAATTAATTTACCACTTTTCAGTTTGGTTCAAGTATTTTATTTTTCTTCACATCATCATGCTATATGGTTATTAATCAAGTTAATACTGTCAATCAAACTATAGCGGAATATTATAGCTATACTAAATAGATAGTCTGCTTGCTTTCGATTACAACGTGATACTGCGTTACAATCAAAGATTTTCTTCAATAAAAATTTCGCATCCACCGATGACCATTTGTTCATAAGTTGATTCATCATAACTGCTGCCAGCTGGGCAGAGAGAGGGTAAAGCCAAACATTGAGCTGGAGGATTTGGAGCAGGCATACAACATTTTTCGTCTAATCTTTCCAAATTTAACGGGGCCAATCGAGCATACATTGGATGACCAAATTTCAAAAACGAATCAGCTGAGCCACGGCCTGCAGTTAATTCTTCACAGTGCGAGAAAAGAAAATTGAAATAAGAAACAAATAAACAAGATAGCTGTTCTGTATATATTTGTATGCACTATAAATGAAAAGAGCTATAAGTAAACGCTCATTTATCAATATTTAATCTTCAGATTAATATTTTAAAGCAAAATCTGATCTAAATATTGAAATAGAATAGGTAGCACTAAAATCAACCGGTGCTACTGCAGTTAGCTAACCTGATCCAAATTTAGTATAGCGTGCTTGATTATTTTCGGTGTCCAGATCGAAATCACTAATAGAACGTCGTTTCTTAAGAGGACAGTCGTCGAATGGAACCTGCAAATTACATTCATCCCAATACGTTAAAACTTGATTTCGTTGCGTGGAACAATCCAAGAAACTTATGGGATTTTCATTGAAGATGATGAAATCAGAAGCATCAATAACAGCAGATAATCCCAACAGGATCGCAATGACGGTTATAAATTTGAATTGGAAAGCCATTTCTCTATCTAAAATAATTAAAATGTGTACACTGAATTAATGGAAGTACTAGTGATTGGTATTTACGCAGTACAAACATTCTTAAACTATTCCTCAACATCAATATACACATATAGCTAAGACTGTTACTCCAAAAAAATCAAAATAATAGCAATTCTCAATCGTAATTTAAAACAGATACATTGATTAGATCAAGTAATGCGTCCAAATTATATGTCTATCATTAGTCTGCTTCATAACCAACAAATTAAACTATAGAGTACAAGGCAATAAATTATTTACCTGCAGTAGTGAATTCTTAGGCCAAAAAATGATCAGCTTGCAAACTTGGTTAATAAACTATAGCCTGGCTTAAGTATTATTATCCTTCGAATCGCCAACAACCTCGCATTTAAATACTATTTGGTAAAACTATGTAAACAAGATGACGTGGTCATAAAAGCAAATACTCTTTTAACTAATCAAGATATGCGTTTGGTGTTAATTATTGTATTTTAGTATTTATAGATAGATGTATTTAGTAGATAAATACAATAGTTTCAAGCCTAATTAATTGATTGATTTAGTAACAGGTGCATCAGGCTTGTAAAAAAATTGATCTGTGAAATGATATACTTTTCATTTCCTCCTTAATTTGTTATCGTTTAAAGCATAAAAAATTAATCATGTTGTCGTCAGGTTTAAAAAATTGGAAAATTTTGGGTTTATTAATATTTTATCCTATTTTAATTTCAGTATTATTAACTCATATAACATAGTAGCATCGTTTATTTAAATTTTTAGCCTTAATTTACGACAATACTTAATAATAACATCTGCATAATAAGTTAGCGATTTTAGAATATCCATATTTGATGAGGCTTAAAATATCTTAGAGAAGCTGTATATTGTAAGTGCCGAGCATTACCAGTATTCTAAATAAAGCTATTTACGCTGTATTATTACCTCTATTTTAAATTTTAGCTTTGTCATCTGCAGAATATCGACAACGTGAACATTCTCCAGATATTGCAACTAAAGGAAGGCCACAATTAAGCTTGATTCAATGAGATTTGTACTACATAATAATCTATAAGTGGTTAACTACATACAATTTCCGTATTTCATAGCATAAACATTGCTGTTCATCTTGGCTATAAATTTTAATTAATTTGCCGCTCATTTACCACAACTAAATATTATCGGATAGGAACAGAGCAGCATTGTTATAGAAAAAAATACCATCTTAACAGAGAGTATGGTTAATCAGTGTTACTACTTATAACGATTAACGTAATCATTATAACGATATTTCCTATCTTTACCTTATTTCTACTGATTTCTATTTTTACAACAAGTATACTTCTTGTATCTGGCTTTCTTTAATAATTGATTGTAAAATTTAGTAAGCTAAGTTTTGTACATTGCAATAATTTGAGTTGGATAATATTGCCTAAAGAAATTATCATAAGGAAATATAATTTATGGGCCACTAAAATATATTTATTATTAATGCAGGAGTTAGTAGTATAACCCTTTCCTTCTACTTAATTGAATTACTAAGCAATATACTAACGATGAATATGTTATAAATGTTCATTCAATGGTCTCATAATTGTCATGGTATTTAATGAATATGATTCACTTCGATTGCTATTGATGTAGCAATATAATTGAAATGTTTTTAAATAGTTTTAAAAGAATCATCAACAGATACTTTTACGAAGCTGAGATTCATTCATTTAATCACGACCATTTCGTACATGATAAATATTAAATTATCAATTTTTTTATATCCACACAGGTGCTCTTTAGTCACTGTACTGCTACTGAATTTTATCAGCTAAATATACAGGCTGGCGTTAATTTTCGATATTAATCTATAGCAAATCTAATGCTACTGATGTTAACAAAGTGTCATATCATGAATTGCATGAAAATTACCTTTACAACTGTAAGTAGCATTCGATCAACATCAATATAAAGTCTACAGTTGGCATATATCAATTTTAGTACTATACTCGTAAGATACATATTAATTCGATTTTAAAAGCTGGCGTAATACCTATTGCTAATTAAGTCATATGGAATCATTATCTTGTTTAATACTTATAGGTCATAGATTCTTTTAATGCATACAGATTATTGAAGATTCTGTATTTTAATGGTATATTATTAATAATTATACATCTATTCAACTGTAATTTTCGTGTCTGTTACTTGTAAGTTGAATAATTTAGTGCATTTACGTGTTGAGTTAACTAGAACAGAATAATTCCTCATTAAAATGTTAATGATAAATTACGATATCTGATTTATACTAGTAAGATCTTGGACTGATGTAAATAAACAATTTAACCTCATAGCAACAAGTTCATTGATCAGAATCAATATCAAGAAAATAAATTCGACGACTTTTTCCTTTTAAAATTTAAACAGAATACGTGGCCTTTACAGAAAAATAACTTTCTTTCCCAATCATAAAACGAACATATCTTTATTTTTGGTACAAATTAACTGGATATTTAAATATCGTGACGCTAGCACTAAGAATAGTCCAAAATACAAAACCTGTAAATAAGTATTCCATTATCCAATAAATATGGCTATTGATTTAGCATAATATTGGTCCAGTAATGTTTATCAAAAGGAGCTAACAGCATGATTAGGATAAGGATAGTCTATTTAATCTAGTCAGAGTAAATAAAGAGGTCAAGAGTCAGTTCATTTATTAGTAGAAAAAATTAAAAAATCTTAACAATTCATTTACGAATGTTTCTCAGTCATTGAAGTATAGAATCAATTCATAGATTCCAAGACATTAATTACTATCTCATCATAAATGCGCAACCCCTTCAATCCTACACTAAACATACTCATAAAAGGTCGAAAGTCAATTTTAGTTAAATAAATAGATAATTTATTATCTTCGCTAAGTTATAAACTGTTGTATTTGACTAATTACATGGCTAAGTATGGTCTTGGGCTTAAAGCAGATTAATCAATTGATATTTGATGATTTTTAAGCAATAAGTCAAGTATATCATCTGGCAGTAAATTCAAATTAAAGAATAGACAAGGGATCAAATATAATTAAAGCTTTTATCAAGATTGTACCATGGTATTCCAAGATTAGCCAGTAATAAAATCTATAGCTCCTGACAGAAAGAGTTCATTGATATTTGATCATAGAATTACAAAATACTAAATATCTGATAGAGCCATAATAGACTGTTTTCAAGAACTGGTACTGGTAAGCAATACGTTTGTATTAGTATACTTTCATTTAAGGAAAGCCGGCCTACGGACTGGTATAATAAATATGTATCAATATTTATTAAAATTTTCAAAATGATAATCAATAGGGAGATTAAGTTTACTGATTATAATATGGATATATCTATCTATTTTTAGTATTATAATCAAGAAACTTCCTCTGAGATTAGTTCTATCACCTTGAATTCCAATAATAGCTTTAAGATTACTTAAGATGTATTGTTGAATAATACAAGTGCAGGAGATCTCAATGAGTCAATGTTACCTTTATCAACCAGATAGCTGTTGCATATTTCCTAGAAATTATATAATAGCATAAATAGAATGAACTTATCTATACATTCTAATAACGAAATAGTAAAATAATGGCATAAAATTGTAAACACGCGATACCTGATCAAGATACAAGAAATGTCAGTATATTTGCGCAGACATTAAGTTATTGCAGAGGTTTTAAACTGATCTATTGATAGGCTTTAAATACTGCAAAAGTAGTTAAAGAAAAATAGTAATAAAGAACTACTACTTGATACAAGTGAAATTGATTTCATTTATTGATAGTTAATAACGAGTATTGATTTAGTGGCAAATTTATCTAATAAAAAACTGAGTCTTAACAATAAGAATAATCAATGATACGACTTTTCTATATAATTATTGCAACCAACTGATTCATTTAATCTTTGAAATAAACACTATTTCTATGTAGCTATACATTATGCATATTCTGAGCCTTAGCAAACCATTCTACGGAAGAAAAATTTGTCTAGTAAAGCAAAATTTGCAAATAACTAAAATTATAGTCACATCTGTTAGATCTCACGTTATCACATTGCGAGTGTAATAAATCAACTATCGCAATCATGAATTCGGTTAATCTACAAATGTCAAGGGATATCAGATCGGGACCACACATGCTTCTCAGAGTAAGAAATGATAACGACTACGTTAATAATATGTGATAAGAGGACTGTTTCAAGTATACTGTATAGTTCTTGGCATTCATAAGCAGAATGCAAGCGTAGATTTAACGATAGCTAATGGATTCGACTACAATATAGACATAACCTCCATAAAAAGAATTTACCTTAAACAGTATCGAGAACTAAGTTAAAGTCAAGTAAATGTAGTGCATGAATACATGTCACAATAATTTATAACCATTCAGAGCTAAATTTATGAAATATAACATATAAATAGCCAGGTTAACTTTTACCAAATTTCTGAGGGATAATTAAGTATTAGATACGCATGAAGTCAGTACTAAAAAAAATATTGTACTTATTTTAGTTGTAATACTTCATTAAAAACACGAGTTACCAATTGCCTTTCCTTTTACTTAGAGAAGGGGCGTTTGATAGCTTTTATAAATTCAAATTTATTTATGACGGTGGCAAAGCCCATCATTAAAGGTCTTGTATATCAAGTTAATGTTGTATTAACTGTTGAAGAAAAACTTTTGTATAACTGTTGTAACAAATTTTACATAATATAACTTATCTAAGAAAGTGCTGGTACTAATTTATCTATGACATTTTACGTATTTTTAATAGATAATTACATATCTGTATAATATTACTTTATTTATAAAACGCTATCGATAGAAAGCGATTTTCACATCCGATCAACGATAATCTTTACATCCGATTCATATATAAAAAGCTTCTTGAATTTAATAAATACTCAACAGTTACATAGAAATTTTATTTTTCGTTATAGAGTACGTCTCCTCAACTGAATTTTTT